TATATATATATATAAATAAGACAATAGTTTACACAGTGGGATTAAGAAGAAATCATTGTCTAATCCAAGTCTGACAAATAAAACAGCCCTGAGGCAATTTTCAACAAGTGGTAGAGATCATGTAGTCCACTACACTTACCGTATGAATGCTTCGCTCATACTTTTCAGCTCCTTGTTGACAGTATGTTGTATCACTGAGCCCAAGATCTGCACGCTTCTGAAAATCGAATTGACAAAGCTCTTTGATTGCATCACAGCCTAAAATGAGGTTGCTGGGACATCCATTTGTCATCGTCGCTTTACATATAATACAAACTTTGATTCCTTATTCTAAAGCTGGTCGAGGAGATGCCTAAAAAGCTTTTAAAGCTGAGCAATAATGTGGAGATTTAACACAACGTTCTCCCGACTGTTTCAAGGATCCAGTTCACATAAAACAGCCGAGGCGAGCCGATGCGTGGGCCTCCCTCTAGTGGCGGCTGCATCGACGGTGCAGGCTCAGCTCTGGGGAGGACCGTCGTCTTTGCTGAAGGGCTGTGTCGATCCAGGCTTCACCCAAGACAGCCCGGACACCTGTGTTGCCTTGTGGGGGTCCTCAGGCCGTCTCTGGAGCAACAAAGGCAAAATAGCAGTTACACATCTGGAACAGCTCAAACCAATCAAAAGACTTGTAGCTCATTCTGTAGCTTAACCAAAAACATTTGGGTTTTAATCCTTGCTCATATACAATCAGAGGCAGTTAACTCCTGTAGATTTTTTTTTTTTTTTTTTTTTTTTTTTTAAACGTACTTTGTATGTGAACATCCGCTCTTTTGCCTCCTCGTGAACAGTTGGGTTCCATGGAGAGAAACTGTCAAACGGATACGAGTCGCAGCATGAGCTTTACAGGAGGCGTGTTTATTGTTGCCGAATGTTTAAAAAAAAAAAAAAAAAAAGGACGGTTTACCAACCTTATTGCGTACGGATCATCCATCTTGGGCTGGTCAAAAAGATGACTGTTGCATAATTTCACACTATCCACCACTTTGCTTTTGAACAACTGCACATCCTTCTCATATCTGAAATGTAAGAAAGAAGTAATGCTTTATGACACATGGGTTATAACTAAAGCCCAAAGCAAATCCAAATATATTTGTTACCATGTGGCTCTGCAAACTGCCAAGAAAAAAAAAAACAGAGCGACACGTGGAAAGCTGTGGCAGACAAATGAAGACTGGAGATCCTGGTCCCTTTTTATTAGAGTAGAGATTTATTTTTTTGAATTTCATGCTAAATACCTTGTACACAATAGATCTGGTTTATTTCACTTTCTATGGTAAAAAGCAATTACAAGTAAATTTCGATGCTGCTGCCAAATTGTATTTCTTTCCAGTCCATTTAAATCAATGGCTAAATAACAGAAACTTTATATAATACAGTGCAACAGCACCACCAACCGTAGTCTCCAAAAAGACTGTACAGTTGAATCAAAACTTCTCTAAAAACAGTTTGATGATTATAACCTTCATGGAGGTATGATCTATTGTAGGACTCTTGTCTGTTGCATTCATTTAAGTTAGGTGTGCCTAATAAACTGGTGTGTTAGTGTATTTCACAGCAGTTTCGTCATGTCATCAGGAAAATCACAGTGTAGTTGAGAACATTAGCAACGACAGCATTCCATTTAGGTGAGCTAGTGCGAAGGTCCTGGTGTTGTGAATGCTGGCTCACTGGGACACTTGATGGCACTGAGCCATCATTGATACAATTTGAGTCAACGGTTCTTAACCTGCTACGACAAGTCAAAATGTCGTGCCATGAAGAATGTCTTGAGAGGAAGCAGGAAAGCAAAACAAGTTCATAGCTATGCTCCATGTTGTGATTAACAACTTGCTTCAATGTAACAATACTTAAAGCCGTTTAGTCAGAACTTTATTACATACAATTCTGCTTTATACTCCGTTACGTCAGTGGTTAAAGAACCAATACATTGAGAGTAGATCTGCATTTGAATTATATTCAACCTAAATAACGTAAAACATTCATTGAATAACTCCTGGTCTGTTCATTAAAGGCTTGTTAATCTACGTTTGTGTTCCGAATGTAAAAAGGAAAACCTTTTGAAAAGGCTACGTCACACGGCACTAGAGATTAATTAGTCTGCTTTTTAAAAGTGAATTTCTTACATTAGGATAAAAACAAGTGAAAGGAGTGAACACTCACAGCACAGCCGCTTCCGGGTTGAGTGGTTCCGTGGTATTGATCTTGTAGAAGATTGTACGAGCGTACATCAAGACTTGCCAAATGTGGTTGTGGTTCCGTCTACAACAACACAATACAAGGAGGGGACATCATTATGGGTGCATGACATCACTTGAGCCCCTTTATGATGTGAGAAAAGATATGCTCCACTAAAAGTAAACACCCTAGCATCATAGAATTGTGGTTACATTTATAATCTTGTGTTGAAATATGAAATAAAGGGGAATATTTCAAGAAGACTCCCATTTGAACACAATCCTAAATTTGTTTTCACAATTTCGTTCCAGTTAAAAAAAATAAACTCTGCAGAAAATGTCCAGCTGAGTAAACTATCCAAGAGAAGCACTGACCAAGCTAGACTGGCTCAGCGGGGAGGAGGCGCTGGCATTTAGTACACAAAACTAATCATTTAGTTTTTACTTAAATATTCATGTTTGAAGAAAAAAAATAAAAAATAGTCAATTGCAAATGTGTAAAAGCAGAGAGCATACCTCCATTTGGTGAACGCTCTTCTGACATCAAGCTCTCCAGACACAGGGTCAACAAGAGGATGGAAGACTGGGATGTCAAATACTAGTTTCTGAAACAAAGCACACGGAACAGATGGTTGAGGGCTTGCCTTTTGGATCGACAATTTTTAATGAATGTTCTGGAACACAGAGCGTTGTTTCCAAGATCACTGGTCAACCGTCATTTGTTATGGCTGTCAGCTCTAGTTTTATGGAGTTCAACAGTTAAATTATGACTCAACACATTTCGAGGCGTTTTATTTTTTTCTAAACTTTTGCCAACCTGGAGAAATCATCACCATTCGCACAAATACTAATGATTAGATGCACAATATAACCCCTCTCCTACTAGATAATATATATTTTTTTGTAAACAACAAAGAACAAGTACAATATACTTACAGGACACTCTCCATCGGGATAGTTATCTGGAATATACACAGTGAACTTGAAGACTCCATCCTGGTACAAGCCATGTCTGATGAATATGACCCCGAACCACACTAAACAGTGGGAGACGCATGGCATTTCAGAATCTTTACTTCCATCAACACATGCATGAACCATGCAGAAACAACCACTGTCAATAAACACAATGCTTAGTTTTAAATTAGCCACATATTAGTGTAAATATGAAAAAAAGGCATGAACTTCAAAAAGATGGTCCTTACTTAGTGCCGACTTGTAGGACGGCTGGACATAAATTCCAGGGAGTTTCTGCTTAATCACTAGTGTGCTGCAGGTCACATGGCAAGAAGTCAGATCAATACAAAAGCAAGAGGAACATGCATGGAACTTATTTTCTTCTTGGGTATCAAACTGAAGAGATCCTTTGAACCCAATTAAATACAGACTAGGTCCAATACTTACAACTCAGCCAGCAGAGAGTACTCCAGGTAAAAGGGGCCATATGAAGCGTGTGTGCCATTGGCTGACTGGGCTGGGACGCCCATTGACGCAGGCTTGGTAATGGGGGCTGCATTCTTAGGAATGGATGGAAGCTGCTTTTTACCAAAGGGCAGCCGGGCTGGGCTGGCTCTCTGCTCACCTTGCCCACTCTGTTCCTCGCCGTCAGGTCTCTGCTGTTTTGTATGAAAAATATAACAGGAATGTTAATACATCAGCTGTAAAAAACAATTTTTTTTTTTTTTTTTTTTTTTAAATTAATATTATACATATATACATATATACACATACATATATACACATACATATAT